TTCCTATGATAAGCTATAAGAACGTCCTCGAGGACTCCCCATAGTTCAGCAACCAAAGTGGAAGTTAGACCAATCTTACTAGAGAAACCACAAACCCATCTTCCCAAATGATCTCGGATAACATCCCTAGCCAAAACAGAACACTACTAGAAAACTTAACTTCATCGATCCCAAATTACCAACGTAAGAATTTTTCTCAGTGAATAAATAACTTACTGACAAGAAACATGTCTGCAAAATAAAAAACAGTTAAAATGGGAGTAATATATATTATTTATGGTTCAAACGAAATCTTTGTTGGTAAATTAATAAAATACACTCGTGTTCATTGTCAGTGATATGATGCAAAATTCAGTCCGGCACCTCGCACACCAGAACCCAAAATCGCATTTCTCATGCCGACCAAAACCAAGCAAAAGTTTGAACCCTTCAATCTCCACCTAGACTTTATTAACTTGATTCCGATCATCGTTCCTCATGTTGATGGCCTCCCTCTCGGCATAGAGACAACAACCGACGTTGCTCCTCCTCTGCATCCCCTCGTCATGACTGCCATGGACCTTACAGAACCAACCATTGAAGCTTCCCTTCGTGAACTCCAACCCCAGTTCGTCTTCTTTGATACCTACCACTGGTTACTAAAGTTATTATGGAAGCTTGGTATCAAGTTCGTACATTATTATATCGACCGTCCTACAACTATTGGATACTTTTGGCGTCCAGAAAGGAAGTTTTTGAAAAAGGGTTTGACGGCTGAGGATCTCATGCAGCTGCCAGATGGTTTTCCTTTTTCAACAATCAAGCTAAATTCTAACGAAGCGCAAGTACTGGCTGCCATCAGTGTTGGTGGGATTTCATTCATGAAGCACCTATTCATCTGCTATAAGGAATGCAATGCTATTGCTTCCAGAACATGTAAGGAGATTGAATGGCCTTATTGTGATTTATCGAGAACTAATTTAAACGGCCAATGATTCTTTGTGGACCGTTAATCCCAGAAAGAACATCTTTGGCATTGGACGAAAAATGGGAAACTTTATTGGGATTTTTACCTGCCATCCTTACCAATAAGCTGCACGTCGGTAAATTCAACTTTCCCACATGAATCTCGTCAACAATTTCCACTTTCCAACATGATTTTAGTCGGTAAAATGGCATATATACCAACATGAAGTTGGTTAGTGATTTGGGTGGATCACCAAAATTTTTGGTTTTTTCATTCCCGCCTTTAGGGAAACTACCTATGTCATCTTTGTCGGTAAAATAAATGCCAACACGAAGTTGGTCGGTGATGTGGGTGGGATCGCCAAAATTTTTGGTTTTTTCATTCCCACCTTTAGGTAAACTACCTATGTCATCTTTGTCGGTAAAATAAATACCGACAACACACACATAGGTAAATTGGTCTATATATACCTCACCCCAGTCATTTGCCGGCTCATTTCTTCTTCCTTCCTTCTTCTTCTTCTTCTTTTTTTCTTCTCCTCCCTTATCTGTGCCTTCTCTCTCTTCCATTCAATGCTGCCAGATTAATTGTTTATGTTTTCTAATTACAGAATATTCATATAATTTTAGGTTTATATGATCTTCTCAATCTCCTCTCTTTTTCTCTTCAATTGTTTCTCCTTATTTGATTAAATACTAATTTATGTTATTAATCAATTTATTTGTATTTTTTTTAATTTTGTTTTCCCAGAAACATTAGCAGATAATCATTGGTTAAGTAAATTTTATTTATGCAAATTGACATTCAATTTCATGTTTACGTTGGTTAGAGCCATTTTAGTTGAAATTATAAATAAATACTAACCTAATTTGTGTTTCTTTATTTTTTTAGGAAATGATGTTATGTAAATATTCACCTATTCTTTAGTTTTTTTAGTTTTTCTAGTTATATTTTAAGTTTGTCATATTATTTTTATTTTTTAAATTATGTTTTAATGATTAATTTAAATAAATTAATAAATACACCAAATTTCTGTTTGTATTGTAAAACTTTCATATTATATTTATTTTTCATGATATTAAGTATTATGAATTACTTTATTTAACTGTAAATTAATTGAATTAAATAAAAAATATATATTAATTTTAATAACAATTCAAGAAATTTCATTTTTTATTATTTTTGAGGATTTATTTACCAATATTACCTTCATGGTAAACTGAACTCTTATTTTGGCAGCAAGGATGTTGTTACCAACATTATCCTTGTCAGGAAGCAGCAGGGAACCAAAATGACGCCTAAAATTGCCAACTCAATTCTTGTCGACGATTTTCAATTTTGCTCCTCAGTCAGTCATCGACATAGCTCACCCTTCGAGGCACTGCTAAACTTCCAGATGTGATATTCGTCAGTGAATTACCAAAACAATCTCACCCTTCGAGGTAGTGCTGTATTGTAAATGTGATCTTTGTCGGTAAATTACCGACGTGGAGTTCCAGAAAAGATCTCTAGTGTTACTGTTCCAGCCTATTGTTTGAGAGGTGTTCCTTGTCAGTAATGTGCAGCTTGTTTACCGACTTGACTTTAATCCACATCGGTAAACTAATTAGCAAGCCTACTTTCATCGACAAAGTTATTTCCTACATGATCCAAGTTGGAAGCTTCTTTTACTGATGTGATTACCTTTCTCTCCGAGATGATTTCTCGTCGGTGAAATAATGAATTCTAGTAGTGGGACCTGGGTTGGTAAGTGCAGACCCTAATCACTTTTTGAGAATTTGCTTTCCGTTACAAGCCATTCTTAGCACATCTGGAAAATTTCTGGTGAAATACCTTTGTTTTCACTTGAATAATAGAATTCTTTTATTTTATCTTTTAATTATTTAAGAATAATTTATATTTGTGTTTATATTAGTTTTAAAGAAATAATAAAAATAAGTAAGACTTTTTTAATGATAGGACCATGATGAACAATTAAAGTTGAGATAATAATAAGATTAAAATAAGAAAAAAAACTCTCTTAAAATATGAAAAAATGATGATTAATCTGGATCAAATTTTAAATAAAAAAGTCCATTATTTTAAGATAGAATAAGTATTACGAAAAGAGTATTTAACTTATACTTTGTGTATAGTGATATAGTTATTCCAATTTATCAATTCACAATTACAAAAAAATTCCTTTATTACAATAATTAGGCCCTAAGACTTTTCTTTTTATTTTTCACCCTTACTTACAAATAAACTGTTTAAAAAAAAATCTTAACCCATTTCTATCTATTCTAAAATAAGGGTAAAATTGATACATTAATGTTTAATATCTTATTAAAATGAAAAGTGTGGTCTCTATTTAGAAAATGAGATAAATAAATTAGACAATTTTTATTTATAAAGGGAAAATTATGTAAATCCGCCCCCTACGTACTCCACTTCAAGTTAAAGATCACCCCTAAACTTTTTTCATTGGCAAATAACCCCCTTTAGTAGATCCTTTTTTCATCAATTTTTTAAGTAAAAAGACTGAAAAGAAAATTTTTACCAAAGTAGAGGCACCAAATTAAGGTTTTAACCATTTTTTAATCACTGTTTCATTTTACTCCTAACAAAATATTTTGAGACTTCAGCACTGCTCCTCGCCGTTAATTCATGGAGCAAATCATGAAATTTC